TAATAATCGAATAGTTGTCGATTAATCGATTAATTGGTGCAGCCCTATTTCGGTGTGATGGGTCACTAATGGTAACACACAGCAAATATGCACAATAATTCAAACATTTCCAAAATGGGGAAGAAAAAAAAAAAACGTTAAAAAGCATGCATCGCAGGAAATCTGTTAACTTGAGTTCAGGCAGAAGAAAAGCACGTGTACAGAAATATTCAGTGATAAAGTGTTTTGCGCTGTCTGCTCACAGAGGGTATTTGTTCTTTATGAAACTATGGTCATGTGACACACGCTTACGTGTGCACATTGTACACAAATCAGCTTTAGGATAAAAGTTTTCAAATTAAAACACAATATTTATTTTTAAAAAGTGATAAAAAAAACTTGTGTTGAGGATTCATTTATATTATATACACTCAGTACTTTCAAATTTGTTACCCTCTTTTTTTTAACAGGCTGTCATTTAATGAACCAATGTCCAGTCAGCGGTAGAGCGCAAAAGTAAACAAACATTCACAAAATAAAAATTGCAATTAAAGCAACCCCTTGCTCTGCCAGTTAGCATCAGCACTGACTGTAAATTAGATGTTTTATATATTTACTACACACTGAGCTTGACTAAACTTTGCTTTTTGGCCAGCGTGGCTACGTTTGGCCTGACCTATTCTTTCTGGATATCAGAGAACAAACAGGGCCAATTTCTCACTTGCAGTGCAGTGGAAAGAAAGGTAATACCATTGATAAAGCTTCTAGGGCAGCCGAGCTCAGTGAAATATGAGCATGTGTATGCCTATTCATCAATTTTAACTGGTCCGTAAGACAAAAGAACTTTGGTAGGCTTTTATTCATTAGTAAGTTTGGAATTTATTGGGTGTTTCTGTAAGATATGGGAAAATTAGTCCACATCAGTAAAGTTCCAAACACTATTTTTAGCAGCCTCTTGTATCTGGTGATGGATTAGGAGATCTTACATTAAATAGCACGCTGTGCTTCCTCACTCCTTCCTTTGTGTCTGTGTCTCTGAGCAGATCGGGCAGGCAGTATCAGCACCTTGGACTCTTTGGACTTTGCACGTTACTCGGACGACGGCAACCGGGAAACAGACGAAAGGGTGGCAGGTAAGATGAACCACACTGCCAGGTCACCAAGAAGGAAGCCTAGCCTACAGCTTACTTTTATTATCGACAATCATTTTGGTTCAACAGAAACTTGGGCTGTTCTTTTACATAAAAATATATATTGATTTTTTTTCAAAACCTCACCAAGTTAGATCTTTCTCACTGTCTCTAGACCTTTTACAGATTATAGGGAGTTTTACATGTAAAAATGAACAGAAAAAGCATTACAGTGTTTCCATTATAAACCAGATTTAACATTTTTCTTTGTTTCCCTGCACACGTGAGAACGTATACTGAGCCCGTGAGGGGACATGGGAGTTTTTTTCTTTTGCGGTTCCCACACAATAGTAGGCTATTACGTTACCTCGCAATACTTTTGCGTTACCTCGCAAAAGTCGTTTATCACTGTTGTGCCTGCCGGTTTATTAACAAACTCACATGTTCACCATTAACGAGTTAGCCTACTGCTTTAATTCAGCTTCAGAATGAATATATCACACAGCCACGCATGGAAGTATGTCATATGCCGATATTTTAACACAGTGCAGCCACGCAACATCAATGTCAATTTCATGAACTTGTGGCGACACATCCTGTTTTGGTAACCGGGTATTTCAAAATAAAAGTCTGATTTAATTCAGTTCAAATACAAAACAATCTTTTGCGTGGGAACACAAAAGTATTGCGAGGTAACGCAATACTATTGCGTCAGAACGCAAAAGAAAAAAAATCTCCCCATGTCCCCTCACGGGCTACGTAAATATAAAAGTGCACTATCCGAATCTTTTTTGTTTTGTACAATACCTCAATTTTAAATAAATTACAGCTGTATTCACCATGATTCATTTGAATTATAATTCTCTTTTATTCACTGTAAGATGTTATTAAATCACTCTTTCRTTTTATTGTAGCCATGCATGGCACCAGTCAGGCTGATTCGTGTCACCAACTGAGCAGTTGGTGCATCCAAAATCTAAAAGAGACAGTTTAGAGACCATGCAGCAGAGATGTTGGTTTCAGRTCATGCCTACAAATTATGCATTTTTGAAATGCTACCTCTGTTCCCATACTTCTCACACACCAAATTGGCACCATCCCCATCCTCTTCAAGCACACCTGATCTTACCCCCCCCACACACCCCGACCCGTTCTTCTTGCCAAGATGTCTGCCCCCAGCTGTCTGACATCGGGTTTTTCTCCTGACGTTGGTCAAACCCCAGTGAAACTCTGGACAAGTCACTCCATCCAGACTAGATTTTTTGCTTTTCTGTTTTTGTTTTCTTCCCTCGTTTATTTATTTTATTATTTTGAATATTTTTTTTCATGTTTTTTTGTTTTGTTTTCATTTTGTTGCGATTGCAACCTGTGCACTCTTGATCTGTTGTGAAGTGTTACGATATCTTATGTGACTGAAATTGTCCTTTCTCTAAAATAAAAAATATATATATGGTTACGTTAGGCAAGAATAAGGTTTAGGTTTAAAAAAAAGGCTTTCTTTCTAAATTCACACCCGTATGTGAAACATATTTGTTTGTTTCTGACTTTTTAAATATGTATATTTATGGAATAATATCAGTGTCAGATGAAATAATGGATTTTCAGTGCACAGATATGCAACATTGTTTTCCTGCTTCATTGCTTCTAAGGTTTTGAGTGTGTTTTTACTCCAATGTGTTTGAAAATCTTGTGTGGGTTTTTTTCCTGCCTTGTTCAGTAACAATTTAAAAATCCAAATTTTCAATTTACAAGTGAAAAATACCCTTTAGTCATCTATTTCAGAAATCTTGTATAATCTTCTGATTTTGTAGAAAGTCCGAATCAAACGAGTTTTGTGAAGAAAAGAAAGAAGCAACCTTTTTCCATGCCTGAATCAGATTTAACTCTTACTACTTTGAATAAATTGATTTGCCTTGATCTAATCCTTGACACACAAGTTCCCTGAACAGTGGCTGTCCTTCGAGTTGCTGGAAATTAAATAATTACTTATTGGACATTTACCTAGAAAAAAAAAACCTGTGTCAGACAGCTCCTAAATTATCCAGAATGGCGGATGTGCTCAATTTGAAGTAAAATCAGACCCCATTCAGAAAAATTCAGAATCATCAGCACTTTGAATTGGAGGAATGAAAGGCAAGAAGTGTGTCGGTGCGTCGCACACATCTGTCAAACCTTTAGACAGGTGGGCCATGATCCTCTGCCGCATGCCTTTTTATGAACCCATGATTTGCATGTCTCCTTTTTTTTTCTTTACAACTCTTTGAATCTTTTGTGTTTGTTTTTTTGTTTGTTTTTTTTCACTCCCATTTTTTATTTTGTTTGTTCCCTGTCTTTGGTTGGATCCACTTCCTGTGTGTGTGTTGTCATTTCCTGTCCAGTGCTGGAGTTTGAGCTACGGAAAGCAAAGGAGACCATACAGGCTCTGCGTGCAAACTTGACTCGGGCAGCAGGTGTGGCGTACTTTTAACTTCTTCTCCACTGGAACCCATTTTGTTATGGCTTTGTCTTTTTTATTTTTTTATTATTTTTTATTTATTGTGGCTAAGAGAATTTCTCTGGATAACTAGGAACACCCACTCAACAATCTCATATCCTCTAATTTCTCAGAGAGCGAAGTACCATCTCAGGAGAGAAAAAACTTCAAATCAAGTCCTGAAATCCAGGTGGGGGGTCTCTTGATGACTGACAAATGCTAAAAATGCTCACATGTAATAAAATGTCTCAAAGTATATTCTGTAAGGGCTCTAGTGACTCTTTCTATATATTTATTTATTTATTTATTTATTTTTTTACCTCAGGAGCCCATACGGCCACTGGAGAAAAGAGCCTTAAACTTTCTTGTGAATGAATATTTATTAAAAAATGAATACAAGCTCTCGTCCATCACCTTCTCTGATGAAAACGATGATCAGGTAAAAGCTTTTTGATGTGCCGCTTCATTTTCAGAAACAAGGCTTTGTTCTCATTTTACAAATAAAAGTTTGTTTATTCTAAAGGAAATAAAAAGACCAAAAATAATATTACACGTTTCATGTGCTAACATAAAAAAGTCAATTATTTGTTTGTGTTTTATGTTTTTTTTTGTCAGGATTTTGAGTTGTGGGATGATGTTGGCCTCAACATCCCAAAACCCCCCRACCTGTTGCAGCTCTACAGGAACTGTGGCAGCACCCTGACTTCACCACGGGACAGGGTCGATGCGTCCGTCGGGGTCGATTTCGGCGATCTTCCCGGAAACTGCATCGTTCAGGGGCATCCGAAGAAGCCTGACCTGTCGCAACAGGTGTGTTTAAAAACAGCTTGCTTCCTGCGTGTGCACTGCGAGGGCCGCTGTCCTGCATGTTTTACTTGCTCCTCTGCTCCAAACACACCTAATTTGAATGAAAGGGTGATTAGCAGGTTTGTGCAGAACTGGAACAGATAATTTAATCACTGAATCAGGTGTGTTTGTGGCAGAGAAATGAGTCAAACATGCAGGCTAGTGACCCTCGAGGACCAGGATAGCCTGATAAGATTAGTTGCTTTTCCTACAATAAGCTCAGTTTTCTTTCTTGTAATTGTTAAAACAAATTCAAGTATAGTCTGTGAATTTATTATGAACTTGACGTTTTCTTCATTTGCTATAAAAATAACTCSAATAAAGTTTTTGATTTTGTTTTTTTCCAAGCAGATTTGTATAGACATCTGAATAAAACCCCAAAGATACAGTTACTACAAATGCTGCATGACAACTTTTTTTTCTTTCTTTCTGTGTAACAGTATATTTTTCTCAGTAGCAGTTTCTGTTGTTTGGGGAAAGAACGGCAGCGGGTGAAATTCATCTTGAGCATCCAAATTGCATCAGCTGTTACTTTGTCCACTATGTCCTTGCAACGTGACCAACTCTTGAGTAATCTGACCTTTTAGATTCACCAAATAGAAAAAAATATATAGTTTTAACCTACTCTGTGGTGGATAATTTCAGGTTTTATTGTACATCAAATCTGACTAGAAAAGTTGTCAGTTTCACAGAGTTTCTTAAATCCACAGACACACCTCTGTTCTGGGCACTGATGTGTAAAAACATCAAAAGAACAAACCTTTTTCCTGTTTGAGATCAGCCAGCTGTTTAAATAAATAGTTTTCCTAAAGGCTACTTGTTAACCAGCAGTTATTGATACAATTATTGTGTTACTGTAGTACGAACAAAAACATGGACCACAATAAATTACACAATGGACCACAATAAAAATAAAAAAAAAATAGTTCTGTAATTTTGGTCCCCTAATTAACATATTTATTGTTAATTTCTTTTARCAATACTCAAAATACTCAATAATTTTTTTTTTTTTACAGCAGCAAACAGAAGTCGTGCAAGAGCTGGAGTACCAGCTGAATCTCCTCAACAGTGAGAAGCAGAGTTTAGCTGAGCAGATCAAAAAACTGCAGAGGTGGGTTTGTGAGTGCCTGTTTTTGTTTATTTATCTGTGTTTTGGGTTGATGSAGCTACACCAAGCTGATTAAATTTCTTTCTTTCAAAGTAGTTAAATTTTTTGAGAAAAATAGGACAGTTTGTAAAAAAAATTTTTTAATTTAAGACTATCTGAAAATCTGAAAGTTTGTTTGCAATAAACGTTGATTACTGCTAATTTGACCACAAGGTGGTGCCGTTGTTTAGAAAATGTTTTTTTTTTTCTTTTTCATTGAACAAAAGAGAACATTTACAAAAAAATATAACAATGACTTTCTCATSTACAAAATCAATATCTTACATTTACATTTAGAGCATGTTTAACAAGGCATAAGAAAACAAGAACAAAAAAGAACTAATAGGACTATTTAAGTTTTATTTATAAAGCATACAATTTTTCACCATTTAGATGCTTGAAACTAAAGTCATACAATTTTTTTTGTAAACACTTGAATTTCTGCCATTAAGGTGAATGAGTTAGCTTAGTCCAAAATAGCATTAACTGTTTTTATGGCTAATTTATTTTAGCGTTWAAAAAATCCTAATAACCAACTGATTTAAAAATAATAGTTTATTCATTTTATTTTGACCATGTATTTCTTTTCATTTGTTTCAGTGAGATCCAGACTCTTAAAAAATCCGTCTCCACCTCGCCTCCCACTAATCTGGACCTGGGCTCACAGAACTCACCTCATCCCTCCTCCTCCACTACAAATTCTTTCTCCACTAATCCTCCTGTGGTATGTGGTTATGTACAATTTCTACTGTACAGCTTTTGTTTACGTTTAAACAAGACAAATAGATTACAGTTGTATTGCAAAACAAGAAGCTGTTTACAAAAAGCTAAAAATAAAGRTCTTGTGTTCGAAGAGATGTTTGACTACAATATAGTATTTAACTCAGTAATTYTTACTGTCTATCTTTCCCTCAGCCTCCTACAGATAACGGACAGTATTTAGATATCCGAGGGGTCTCAGAAGCTGAAAATGATTTTGTCCCCGCCTCCACTCAGAACACATCACAGCCCCACCTACAGTCCTGCAACAAAGTCACGAGTCAGTCACAAGTCCAGTTTGATCAACCAAACAGGTGAGTAAATTCAGTCCTGCAGGGAACAAAAGAKTTCAACCTTGTAACACTTTATAAATATCTTTGTATACAGTGGTAACAACTTGTTCTTGTCAGGTCTGTTTGTGTTAAACTGTCTTCACAAACTGACCAGAAACATGGGAAGTAATAATTTTGTTTGGGTCATTGTGGAGCAGAGAATTGAAATTTAAGATTATAAATTATTAGTTATTCCATAATAAATTCATTGAAATACACAACAAATATCCTGCACCTGGCCACTGACTACATCAACAATGCATATTTTAGTGTAGTAACTACATACAGCCTTTAGATGGTGGTAACTGTTTGTAAAATGATGCATTAATAAGAGAGGAACTAGAGCGGATGCCTTTGTGAATAAAGGATGTTCTCACTTTCTTTGTGTCCAGTGATTTTAAAACACTTATTTTTATTTACTTTAATTTTTTTACCTCTAACACCTTTTATATATTTCTTTATTTTGTGTTTCAGTCACAGGCTAAATGATCAACTGAATACATTTCTAAGACATCTTTTACTGTGTAAATTTTATTTTAACCATTTTCACTTCATTTAGTGAAAAATCAGTGTGGTTCGTTCCCACTGAGCTGCTGAAATGTTTCCTTTGTTCACTTTTCATATATCCATTTTTTTTCTTCTGAAAAGGCAGCATTTACTCAAAGAACTGGCAGCAGTAGAGCTTTTTGGCCCAGTTCTGTCCTCTGTTATTTAGTGGTCAGGACAATCTCCAAGCTTTTATGGAGGTAATAACAAACGTTGTAGACTGCACGGTAATGACCGTTTCCAACTTCGTCTTTTTGGTATTCCAGGAAGTTGTCTCCGGCCTTCCAGCAAGCCTTGCTGTCCTTCTGCAGAATGTGCTCGGACAGCCGCCTTGGAGCAGAGGTCTGCAACACACAGACACACACACACACACACACAGACACACACACTAAAAAATTTCAAAAACCCTATATTTCAAAGAAGAGCAGGTATACAATGGCTGTGTTTCAATTCATAGGCTGCAGCCCATGTAGACCGAGGCCCACATTGGCTACACCCTACGTGGGCCGTGGGCCGCCAATGTAGGCTATATAAACGGCTGTGAAATGAGAGTCTAGTATACGGATGACATACTGTATATGGTGATGCGTCTTATATCACATGCCTTCAGTTGCCCATTCACGGTGTGCCCTCACAAAATTCAATATTGTTAAAACATTACTAATTAATAATTTGAGGTTAGCTCCAGTATCAATACTTGTTTTGCATTTGATTTAACATCTCTTTTAAGCATTAATTTCATCAGCTAAATCGCTAAAAAAAAGAATTCTTCAGTTCATAATAAATTTCCAAACTCCGCGGTAAAAAACAAAACAAAAAAACAAACCAAAAAAAAACATTACCGTCTTCGTTATTTTGTTTAGTTTGACGGAGAAATGAATCGTGGGAAATCATCGGCACATAGGATGCTTGGATGCAGCCTACGTTTTTTAGGGTTTTGTTTGCCRACAGTTGCACCCTACGTCGGCTGCAGCCCCTGAATTGAGACACAGGAAATGCCTCTTTGTCTCCAGGTGTCTCGTATAGCGGACAGCGAGGAGAGTGTGATGCTGATGCTGGGCCGCTGCCTCCCTCACATCGTCCCCAACGTCCTCCTGGCTAAACGAGAGGTAAACCCCGCTTATTGCTGCTGTTCTCGCTCCCGGTTCCCTCCTTCCTGTGTCGCCATCATTGCTGTCATGATCACAGACATTCTGCCTAAATGTCCAATAGATGCACACAAGGCAGCAAGGATGAGCAGTGGGGGGAATTTGAGCTGGTGATTTACACCTCACAACGTTTTACCTAAATTTTGCTGCGTTTTATGGGAGCGAGTTCTCTGCAACCTCTAAATCTATTCAAGATAAAGAGGCTCTGGATGGATTTATTATTTGTCAGAATTTTTCATTCTGTCGTCTTTGCAAACAAAGATTTCCTATTCTAAACAGATCATTTTAAACCTCACTTTCAAAGTTTGTTTACTTTTAAAAAGGCAATACGAACACTTGTTGCTTCTTGATGGAGCGTTTGTATGTTTTACTATGTGATTTGACAGGAATATTTGCTCTTTTCCATCTGTTCCTTTCTTGATTTAGGCTGAATTAATTCCCAAAATTCACTTTAAATGTGACCGGATGCATACTTAGTTGGAGGCGTCCTTTTATGCATGAACCATCTTTGGAGAATAAAACCTCTACAACTCCCCCTGCTGACTTGTGTCTTATCTATTGATTAGAAATGTCACCTTCTTTCACGAAGGCCTTCGTTTTTCTCCTGCCTTCATTGTTCTTCTTCTGTGGTTTCGTTGTGGCCCGCTCACATTTGCTGCCTTTTTGCCTTCACTGTTTTTATTTTATTTTATTTTTTTATTTTTATTTATTTCTCTCTCTTCGTCTCACTCATTCTCTCGCTCTCATGCATGCCTCTCTTCTAGAGAATGGTTGCACATCTTTGCCAGGTGAGTCTTTCACGCACTCATCTGCATGGTTCTGACATAATCTGTAGAAAAGAAGAATGAATCTAACAACCAGCCTTTTGAAGCTACAACTGCCGACGCCAACAAATTTATGGTTACATTTTTATGGAGCCAAGTATGAACTTCTGTTCAATGTTGTCCAAAAGTGAAGCAGTTTTAGCTTCATGTTGGTCATGGCTATGCTGTGGGTTTTTTTTTGCCCATTTTTTTCTTTGTGTCATTTGTCGCAGCTTTAAACTCTCCAGTCTATAATTGACAGTGGTGTATGATGTGGTTTCAGTTAATTTAATAAGATCCGAGCAAGTAGGACAATGCAATTAGTCTTAATGAAAAGAATGGTTTTAATTTTACGTTCTAGATTTTTATTATTTTGGTTTCATTTATGTAGCTATTAATCAGATTTATGCTTTTAACTGTGAGCAAAAATGCTTTTTTTTTAATACCTGTTAATTTTACTTTAAACATAACGAACTGGAGTTAAAACTTTTTGACTTTAGCAAGTGTTCGCTATGAGCTGTAACGATACCTGCACTGTGGTTCTGTTTATTCTTACTACTTGCATGCAAGTGTGTGTGTGTTCATGTGTGCAGAAATACAAAGTGTTTAGATTTGGCAMCATGTTGAAACGCAAAAAGCCACAAAACTGAGTTTCTGTGGGAGGTAAGTCTGGTTGTAGTTGCTCTCGGTTGCCCTGCTTTGCATATCACTGTGGTTATGTAGGTGTAATCAACTCAAGACCGTTGGGGAGCGCCTTATCTWTTTGCTAAATCAGTGTAAACAAACTCAAAGGAGAGGCTTGCAGGAAATTAAAACACAGCAGAGCATTAAAGGCTTCGCCGTCCTCCTTGAGTGGCGAGGACTTTGCACCGTGTCCGTTGGGTTTGCGAATCATGACACCAGATAGTCATYCACAAATACAGCTGCTCACGCCTCCATTCTGCAATGTAAAGCTTCATAACAACCATCAACCTGAAGAATTGCATGGAGTTGTTTAAATGTGACACCTGCACATAAACGAATGGCGTTAGGCCTGAAACAGTAAAATGATAGATTAAGACTTRCTGCCACCTGGCTGTGTTAACAGACTCTGTAAATCAGTAAACGCATTGTTTTTATTCATAACACAAAACCAGACTGCCTTTTGTTTGTGCATATTATGTTTTTTGCAGGCACAGAGTTTACCTCATAGTTTACCTTCACTRGTTATAAAAATGCTGTATATATCAAAAAAAATTTGACTTTGCATCATAGTCTATTTAAACGCGTTGAAATTGGCCTCTGGCTCTTCAAGAACCTCCTACCATTTCTGACAATCCCACTTCAGCACAACTTCACAACGATGCCAGGGTTCATGCAGGGTCTTAAAAAGTCTAAAATTTGAAAATCTAAACTTTAGGCCTAAAAAAGTTTTAAAAATGCCCAGATTTTCATCCAAGGTCTTAAAAGTTACTTTTGTCCGGTCTTAATTTTTTTTACAGTTGATCATTCCTGAGAAGTGTTGGAGAGTAAAGAGCCATAATCAGAGGTTGATATGATCTGTCTTCATGAGGTGCTAAGTTTGCTACCGGCCTTTATACAAGTTGAACTACAAATCCAATGATAACTGCAGGCTTAATATGGCACAGTTTACTTCCATGTTTTCGATGTCTTTGCTGTTAAAACCCCCCCGCAGGCTAGTTTACCTGTGCAAAAAACAAAGAAGTTCCGTCATGTCCACTGCTTAAACGCGGGAAAGTATGTTTACAATGAGATATGGCTTGATATCAGTGATTTTTTGCACTCAGTTTGAAGCGATCTACGGCAGTCGATATGAAGCTCTCATAGATTTGATTTGATGATGCCTTTATTGTCATTGTACAGAGCACAATGAAATTACATTTAAGAACACTCATTCAAGAGGACACACATGACAAAAAACATGGGGGAACAGGTGAACAGGTCATGCGCCAACCAGCAGGGGTCGCGGTACATTTAAAGAAAAATGAAAAAAAAAAAAAAAACACTCAAGGATAGATGAGGAAAAAAAACAAAACATCATACATCAACAAAATGTGGCACACTATGGTGTTTATTAAAAAAACGTTCATTAAAATAATATAGCATTTTTGTAATAAAATTTAATATTCTTTCTATGTTAAAATTTCTGGGACCATTTGAATGTTTCTGTTAATGTGTTGGTTTGGTCTTAAAGGTCATTCCTAATGGTTTTAAAAGGTCTTGAAAAGGTCTTAAACTTAACTTACTGAAACCTGCATGAACTCTGGATGCTTCAGGGGCGGGGTGCTCTGTGGGGCGGGAGTTCAGCTGCAGGCTGAGCTCCAGGGAAGACCTAATTGCAACAGGCAGTGCTTTGTACCAGCAAGCRTTCAGTYAGCTCCACATGGCTACCACAGGAGATTCAAGAATGTTTCAAACATACATGAATGAGTCAAAGCAACACTGGCTATGTTTTTGATAAGGCAATGGCATTATAACATATTATAAAGCTCAAAAAGTCGATTTTGCACTGCACCCTCCCCATTAATTAATGTCACTGCACTCGGGGTTTTTAATTTGTTTAATTTATGGCAGGCATTTTGAACTCTAAGAGCGCTAGAGTTGTATTTTGACACTTGAATTGTGTCAACTTTTGTTTCCATGCTCATCAACAGAACTTTAAGCTCTGCAGAAACACATTAATCACCTTATGTGTCAAAGCAGTGAAACGCCATWAGCCTGCAGGACAGAACCACTACACTACTACTGCTCTAGAAGGAAAGAGTCAGAAGAACTGTGGCACATTTAGCTCAAGGCTGTTGAAATATTTTTTCAGGTCAAATAAAAACTTTGACACATCTACATGCTGGCTCATTGGCATCACTGTGTAATAACTCCACTCTTTGAGGATTGCTGTTCTTGGATCCTGGCATCATTCTGTCTGCTTTGAGTTGCCACAATGTTTACCATGGACCGCTTAGATGTTTAACCTCCCGAAGGAGCCTTTACATAATCAGAAGTACAAGGATTCTCACTGAAATGGAATAGCAGCATCATGGGTTTTGGCTTGTCAGACCTTTATTTAATTTTATTTTTTACTTTAAAAAATAAGGACTCTTGAGAGACCCGAAGTATATTTTCAAATGCTAGAGCAAAAAACGTATTGAGTGTGACAGCTAAATTTGGTTGAACTGGGTTTATTTTTCTGGATTTAAACACTTGAATTGATTTCCCTGAAACTAAACTTGTCATTAAGCACTTAAAGATCACCCTCTGACATTTCGGTGTTGACTTTTTGACTTTGTAGAAGTCGGCCAACATGGCACCGACTTCATAGAGTTAGTCCAGTATTGAGCGAATGACTAATCACAAACATACCTTCACCCAATTGGTTCTGCTGTGTTCGTTTATCCACCCTGCAGCATTGAGGTTTTGCGTGTTCCTCCAGTACTTGGCAGGCAAGTGTGAGATCTTCTCAGGGGAAGAAACTGTTTTTTAAAAAAAGTATATATTTTTAACTCTGCTTGCACTCTCTAATTTCAGTGTATGTGTGTCGGGAATGTAGGGCCGACCACAGTTTGGCCATGGAGGCCCTGCATCAAGGGCAGCAGAGCTCTCTCCCTGAACTCTGCCTGAACTCTGGGATAGGGCTCAGTTTTGGGAAAGCAGCTATTGCGTTATGTATGTGTGTGTCTGTCAATAATCCAGCCAAAACCTGGGTGTGTGCATGCACTTTGTAAGCTTCTATGGTATGTGTTTTTAACTGTGTGAATTTAAAGTTAAATAAGCCACTGAAACCCCCCCAAAAAAGTATTTAAGGTAAGTGTTTTCAGCAGTATTAAAGCATTCTAGAAATGACTTCTTTATATTTAGTTTTCCAGTGTTTCTTTAATCACAATATTTCCCTATTCTATCACAGACTGGCCTGTTCTAAAATTTTCTACAACTTTGTTGTATGCTGTAGCTRTATTATGAATGTGTTTGTTTATTCTGATGCTAGCTCCGGTTGTCTCTTATCTTCTCACCATCAGGAGTTGATTCCCCTCATCTTGTGCACAGCATGCCTTCATCCAGAGTCGAAAGAGAGGGACCAGCTTCTGCACATCCTCTTCAATCTCATCAAGAGACCAGATGATGAGCAGAGGTGTGACACGTGTTTCTACATACGTGTAACAGAAATATAATAATGTCCACATATTCTGCTCGTTCATCTCTCTCTTTGCTTCACCGTCTTCCTAAAGCTGAGGGGTGATGCTTTTATTTTCTTTGTGTGTGTGTGTGTGTGTCTCTGTGTTTGAAGACAAATGATCTTAACGGGCTGCGTTGCATTTGCGAGGCACGTGGGTCCCACTCGTGTTGAGGCTGAGCTTCTTCCTCAGTGTTGGGAACAGGTATAGTAATTTCTTATCCATCATTTTATTTACATGTCAAGTCATAATAGTAGTTTACAGTAGTAGTCRTCATTCTGTGATAGTTTTTATTTTTATTTTCAGATTGCATTTTTAACATACAGTACAAACCAAAAGTTTGGACACACCACCTCATTCAATGAGGTTTCTTTATTTTCAKGACTATGAAACTTGAAGGCATCAAAACTATGAATTAACACGTGGAATTTTATGTGACACATCACATCKAAACRAGAATTAAGACTWAAYGTGGAATGTGGAGAAAAGGGCAGATGTAGGGTTTTGATTTAAATGTGCAAAAATTGCATTTTGTCAAAATATAATGAATTAATGCCTTATCAAGGYATCATTTGAATAAACTTTCTGAAACACAAAAAAAACAACTTTTGAAGCATTTTTTGAGCAGTGGCAACAAAAAACTGATTTTGAGGAAAAACGCCTTAAAATTTACGTTTTTTCCCAGTGAGCTCGCAAAGTTTTTTTTTCTTTCCAGCTGGAAAATCTTAATACAAATACTATTTGAGGTTTCCTCTTTATATTGACATAAAATTGCTCAATAAATTTCCATAAAATTACGATTCAGATCAAATAGTAGTAATGTWTTATAACCAACAAGACAAACTGAGTCATATGTCTGGATAAGTTTATGATATCAGAATGATCTAGGTATCAAAATGTAGCTTTTAAAGCCAAGAATCTGAAAATGTAATTAGGTCATTTTGACCAAATTTGACTTAATCCTCATTTCGAAATGATGGGTCACATATACGTAACAAAAAAGTGTGAAACAAYTGAAAATATGTCTTATATTCTAGGTTCATCAAAGTAGCCACCTTTTACTTTGATTACTGCTTCGCACACTCTTGGCATTCTCTTGATGAGCTTCAAGAGGTAGTCAACTGAAATGGTTTTCCACTTCACAGTTGTGCCCTGTCAGGTTTAATAAGTGGGATTCCTTGCCTTATAAATGGGGCTGGGACCATCATTTGTGTTGTGCAGAAGGTGGATACAGAACACAGCTGATAGTCCTACTGAATAGACTGTTAGAATTTGTATTATGGCAAGAAAAAAGCAGCTAAGTAAAGAGAAACGAGTGGCCGTCGTTACTTTAAAAAATGAAGGTCAGTCAGTCTGAAAAATTGGGAAAATTTTGAAAGTGTCCCTAAGTGCAGTCGCAAAAACCACACAGGGCCTCCATGGCAAAAACCATCCTGTATTTATGTACATACCTTTTTTACTTCAGAAAGCAACCTTAGTAAATGAAAACAGCTATAACTCAGCCAGTTTTACTGATGTTAAGCTAAGATTTGGTGTGGTAGCAGTTGAGCCTTTCTGAACACTTTATCATTGCTTCATTTTCGAAAATGTTTTCTTGTTATTGTATTGTCATTCTGTGAAACCACGTGAGAGTTGTTTTTATTGCCTCCCGTGTCACCCCATCCACAATAAACAGAACCCGTTGCAGCGGCAACGGCGTCTGCCGGCAGTCTGGAGGCTGAGAATCTGCCGAGAAAGACAAATTGTGGTTTCCACAGGGTCAGCTTGTTTGTGATACTCAGGTTGTTTCCATTCCACCCCGGCTCCCCTCCGGTCCTCGTCTGCCTTCCTTTATGTCCCTCTTTTATCTTCAACGTTTCTTTTGTCTGAATTTGTCCTTCGCAGATCAACCACAAATATCCTGAGAGGAGACTGTTGGTGGCTGAGGCCTGCGGAGCCTTAGCTCCTTACCTGCCTGTAAGAGCAGATGCGCACTGCAGAAAAACACAGTTTTTCATCAATGTTGAGCACTTTAAGAACTAAATAGTTTTTTTTCTTTTATTTAGAAGGAGATTCGTAGCTCCCTGGTGTTGTCCATGCTGCAGCAGATGCTTGCTGAGGACAAGGCTGACATGGTCAGGGAAGCAGTGGTCAAGAGTTTGGGAATCATCATGGGTTACATTGATGAYTCTGATAAGTACTCGCAGGTAAAACTGTTTACGAGAAAACGTTAAGTTGTAAAATGCCAGTAAATGCAACCAGGTTTTGTTTGGATTCCCAACGGTTCATCTTGTTTTTAAACAGTGTGGTCGTGCCGTTCATACCCCTTCTTCATTGCAGGGTTTTGAGTTGATGCTTCTGTCGCTCGGAGACCCATCAGAGCGAGTAGTAAATGCAGTCCACCAAGTCTTCATCCCTGCCTTTGCTGCCTGGACCACCGAGCTGGGCACCCTGCACACTTCCCTGATTCCTTCTCTGCTGGCACGGATAGAAAAACTGCTCAAGGTAAAATACAGCTGACCCGCTGCCCTCTAAACCTGCTCATTTAAAGGCAAGAAATCTTTGTAATTAACCCTGCTAGTTTGTCATCCTGATTGATGCTTTTATTCTGCAGCAGGGAGAGCACGGTCTGGATGAGCACAAGCTGCACATTTTTCTGTCAGCCCTTCAGTCTCTCATTCCTCCTTTGTTTGCCGTGGTGCTGCAGAACGCACCTTTCAGCAGTAAAACCAAACTCCATGGAGACATACCTGTCATAGAAGGCAAGCTGCATAAACACACCCATTGCATTGAGATTACAGACATTTCAACAGATGCAGAGGTTTGTATTAATGGCATTTTCTGTAACTTTGGTCCTGCAGTGACCCGGTTCCCCAGACCAGCTTCTCCCCTGCAGGACTTGGCCACCATCATTGGAAACAGAGAGGTGTTAAGCACCTTGCTGCTCCTCTATGACCACCAGCTGGAACATGAAGGAACTACGGGCTGGGACAGCCTGCTATGGGTGGTCAACCAACTGTAAGATGCTGACAAACTCTTCATCTTTAGATGAAATAACACTAGCTGCGTTTCCATTGACCATGAAAATGCGCAAATTAGAATTCTGAAAATAAATTTGCTCAATGGAAACACGTCAATTTAGAAAAATATTACGTTTTTCGATAAAATGTTTTTGCGCTAAGAAGAGGTGGTTATTTTGGCCGTATCGAAATTGGTGTTTTTCGCAAAACTGCAATGGAAACACTTTTTTCGCATCACGGGAGTCACGTGATCAAGAACCAGCTGTTTCTACTGGSGAAAAAGACGACGACGAAGAAGATAACAGGAAGTAGAAGTAATATCACAGAAGTAGTAAAAGAAAGTATTAAACTCACCGACTACAATTTCCCAAAAACACAGCATATGTAGCCGCTCCGAAGTAAAAGGGGCTTGTCGCTGGAAAGCCTCGATAAAAGACGCTGACGTCTCCTCTGATGATGAGCGCTAGTGTCGTGGTAGCAACATGCTATATGTTTACATCCATTGCCGCCATGTTTGTAATGACTTATCGYGAGAACAAACATATATTTACGTGTGACTATAATAGCATTTCTTACTAAATGGAAACACCGCAGTTGCGAAACTGTGKTTTTCRACAGTAACAGAATATCTACAAAGTTTTGCGCACATTTGCAATGGAAACGCAGCTAATGACTTAAAATATCTAACCCATACTTTAATTATAACTGGGACAAAACCTATACAACTACCTAACATCCCTTTAGATTTGGTAAATGCACCATTTTTAAGGATTTTTTGGTATGTTTCACTAAATTATTTTAATGCCGTAATATAAAGTATTCTTCAAATCTTATTTATTTGCTAGTTTTCTAAAGTCCACCAACATGGAGCTCAGCCAAAATCAATAGTCGTTTCTTCAGAAGCACTTTTTAAAATTTAAGAAAAGTTCTACAAGAATCGGTTTATTTTTGATCCTACAGAACTTTTTACACAACAAATTTCCTTCATCCAAGCACACTTACACGTATATATTTTATTGTTGTTTTAACTTAGTTATTATTTTTTACATTGGATTGAACTATTCTCAGACTTTCTGCAAYAAATGAAGTGTTTTGAAATTATTTTGAATTTAAATCAAATTTGCTCAGACTGTTTCGAAGAAAGATGACAACACACTGAGTGTTCTGAATGTTAAACATTTATCAGCATATGGAAGTAGCTAAGCACAAGTATGCATGCACTATTTTTTATTTCATTTTTTTTTTCTTAGACTGCCTCAGCTGATAGAGATTGTGGGTCGCATCAATGTGACATCCTCGACATGTGTTCACGAGTTCTCTCGCTTTTTCTGGAGGTTCTGTCGCACCTTTGGCAAGATTTTCACTAATACGAAGGTAAATTCACATCACAGCAACGTCATTATTCAGCTGAGGTTCACACTAAGTTTTGTTAAGCATGTGAGGCAAATCCGTTTTTGTAGGGGGTGTCAAATGTATTTGCATCGAGTTGTTTGTCCTCGTAATTTATTAATAAAGTAAAACAATTTTTAGTGTTTGAATGTAAATTTATCTAAACATAAACCATAACTCAGTGAGTTAATCATGTTTTTTAAGATTTTAAGTTTTACAGTAAACCTCCATCGTACTGTATGTAAACAAGTTTTGGATGTTTTAATTAAGCCTTTTGCTTTTTAGGTGAAGCCACAGTTCCAGGAGATTCTCCGACTATCTGAGGAGAATGTCGGTAAGGGAAACTTTTAGGCTTGTTTTCTGTTGGCTTTTCTTTTTCTTTTTTTTTAATTCCCAGAAATATTTCTCAGCCTTAAAAAATGAGAAACTGGTAGATGGAGTTTAGAGACAAACACCATTGATGTAAACAAGCTATTTGGAGTCACGTATGGGTGTTCCCCCTTCTTTGTCTTTTTTTTATTTTTTTCTAATTCCAAACATGTTTCTGCTTTTATAAAGAGATGCTCGGTCTCATTCGGCTGCCAAGTCATTTAGTTTGGTATTGTGGCCATTTATGAAATGTTTTTTTTAGCTTGTTGCTGTTGAGGTTGTCACGATCTTTGACAGCATTCACTCAATTCTGTGGRTTTTTATGATGCAACAATATAATGTGTAATGAGGACACAATTCAACAAACAATATGATACAAAATTGTGACTGGTTGCTGTTTTATTTATATATTTTAGTTGCTTGAATTAATTATAAATTGCACGTTAGGCTGTCAAAATGCTCAAAAGCTCAGCTTTKATACAGATTACCGTATTCAAGTATAATACGTAAAATTAAATCATAAAATCATCCATAAAGTTGGGGGTTAGTACTATACTCGGATAAATATTTTTACTTATGCTTTTTAACTGAAGTATCTGCTTCATTCACAAAACGCCTGAGTCCGGAAATGAGACCGCGATGTAAAAAGCAGTTGAAACGACCTTACCTCTAACACTCCTCCATTCTTCAAAGCGAGATGGTAACAGATCCAGGCAGGCGACATGATGTGGAAAAAAAAGGGGGGGGGAGTATTCCTGCACCTTAGTAATGATAGCGAACTAATGACATTAGCATGTGACCGGGTCGCTGCTCGAACAACAACAAACACATGTTTGTCTGAGCTGAGTGAAGCTGACACCCCACCCACGTGAAAAAATTCATCAAAT